AGATCATTTATAGCAGAGATTTCAGCAATGTCTTTGTCAACCACAAAGCACTTGAAAAGACTGGCATCAGAATTCTTCAGAAGAAGCTGCAAACAAAGAGAAATAGATTCCTTATCTTCATTTTTTACAAAACCATGAAGAACAGGAATGCCCCTGCCCTCTCCATCAATAACCATTACAGTCAAAAGTGGATATAAATATTTATTGGTTTTATATGTGAAATCCATTAATAAAACCTCTGGATATTGGGCAATAATTCTAATCATATCATCAGTCATGTATGATAAATACTTAAATTCCCCACTTTCTGTTAGTCCATAGGACACACTTCCACCAGCTTGTGATATAGAATGAAGTATAGATTGAGTTTCAGTTGCATCAGAAGATGATTTATTTATTCTTGACTTAATATTGTAAATATCCCTGGGAAGCAAATCCACATCATGCTGTTGTTGAAGCACTTGCCGGGCCTCAGATGCCTGAATCAAGGTGCAGGACATCAACAGAAGCGTTGCCGCATTTAGTTCCACCTTGCGGTTTTCCGGATACAAGCGGCAGATCTGGAAAAAAAACACACAAAGGTTACTTTGCAATAATAAGTATTATGTAAAAAATAGGCCCTGCAAACATTATTATTATTATTATTATTAGTGGTCTTATAAAATGTTCCCTTTAAGTTGCGCTGCCGTGCAGCCATCTCACAGGCGCTGCGCAGCAGTTTTGAGTATCCGCACAGCAAATTTCCCTGTAAGTGTGTGTTTGTGTTTCTGGACTGTAAAATTTTGCACACAAAAAAATTGATGCTGTAAAACTTTGCACATAACTGTATGATTTTGCACACAAACCAACAAACCTTGGAGGGAACATTGGTCTTATATAGCGTGGTACCCTAGCCTAGGGCTCTTAAAAATAACTAACCTTTGCCTTGGGGATAAATGTTTTTAAGTTTATTATATGTCACAATAATCAAAATTAAGATATAAAACTCTGTTTGGACTATTTAGAATTTATTAAATTTAATTATACTGTTCAATAGATTTGTCTTAATTTTTTTCAAAACCTTTCTATGGTAAGGGTGGTAACCCTAACCTTAACCTAAAGTTTCCAGTGATAAAATTTCTGAGCGCCCTATATTTGAATGGGTTAATAAATGGTACAAAACATTCTTTTAAAATGCATCCATCTCTAACTCTTTAGTACTAGAGTGTCTGTAGGTGACATCAACCTGCCACAAGAATATGCTATTTATTATTATTATGTAAATATTTTTTGCAGCGCATGCACTTACTTCTTTTGATACTTCATGGCCAGCATGTTCATGCATTGATTTGGTAATTTCTAGCCGAGATGGATTTCTCTTGGCAACAAGCTTTATTTTTCCCTGGCATCCCAATTTGAAAGAACTGAAAAATATAAAAATTCTCAACGAATTGTCAAAAGTGGTAAGGGTTAATGTAGAGCACGAATGCCATGGCGTCATTTGCTTCTTTATTATAGTTGCAGTGAATTAGGGTTTAGTTAGGTTGAGGAGTGGATTTAGGGATACGAAGAGCACGGGCACGGCCATCGATAAAATAGTGGCATTCATCCTCTACATTTACCATGGTAGTAATAATAATTGGCTTTGGAGAATTATTGCATGACAAGACCAACTAAATTTAAAGTTAACCTATTAGCCTATTATTATTACTTTATTACTTTCGCTTGTGATTTTCTTTGGCCTGTTGTCCTTGAAGACTGAAGACTTTGACTTGTGTTTAACTCCTTGTTTGCAACAGTGAATTATATTTATATATTCACATTTAAGGTGTTCCAAATTGGGATCTTTCATCTTCTCTGACGATCTTTTAGTGAAACACACATTGTGTTCTTTACAAAAATAATTCAATTCGTCTTCAAAATACGCTTAGGTGTCAAAAATTTTGCCAACCTCCATTTTTATAAAAGATAGCGCGGCAGACTTGTCGATTAGTATCTAACCCTCTGTTTCGCATCACTTTTTTTTTTCTTCGATTATTAAGACTTTCGGGTGCGAATAGTTATGGGAGACGATGGGTACTCGGGTACCTATAACCACTTCGTTTGCATTAATAAATGTTAAAAAGGGAACCGTTTTTCAGTTACGAACTACGAACTATGCTGCTTGCTTGCTGGGATACCAGACCTTGGGAAATTTTCCAAGAATTTGGGGAATTCACTACTGACTACTGCCTTGTGATCTGGGGAATAATTTTGAAATCGGGTGAAACCTGGGAAATTTTAACTAGATTAATTGTTTGAAAATTAATTTTTTAAAGCGATATGTTGTGTAATACAAGAAACATTTAAATGAAATAAATATTTTTCTCTTCAGTTTTCTGTTTGGAAATCTGCATAACTATAACGATTTTTCTGTTTCGGTTTAATCCTGAAGTGTCAAAGTGTCCTCTTTTTATAGCCATTTTCATTGTTTCTATAGAATAGTAGTTACTATCCTAGTGTCTCATTTGTATTTACTTAGTTTACTTGTTTTAATATTTGTAAAGCGCTTAGAGCTTTATGATAAGCGCTATATAAAAATGCCGAAATAAATAACGAGGTTTTAGATAATTTTTGTACTTTTTAAACCACCGATGATTATAAAAATCTTCTTAAATTAAAGTTCATTTTGTATTAAAAAGTTATAAATTAAAGAAATGTTAAATGTGTACCTTTTTAAAATTAAAACCCACTTGTTGAATATTGACAAAATTAACCGTGTACACCATTAAGCAATTCTCATCAATAAATAAACTCATAATTTTCTAAATGTCAGATAGGGAAAATTAATATTATAGAATTTGACCAACACTGGGTAGGCCTGTATAAAATAAAAAGTAAAATGGTGTAATCAAAGTTTTAACTTAAAATGGCTGAAAGATCATGAATTTAAAAATTGGCAACAGCAGTATTAAGACAATCAAGATACTGGCTTTTGAAAATATTGCAAATTTATCATGACAAATGAAAATATGTACTAATTAATGAAAATATAAGCACTCGATAAAACATACAAATAACTGTGAAAGTGCGGAGTCTACACAAAGGAAAAGTCAATTAATAAAATGCTTTTTTAAAAAATACATGAGTTAAACAAATAGCAAAAAGTGAGTAGTTTATTGCTGGATATTTTTGCCAACATTACATCAGTATCACAAAGGGGGCATTCCCTGATTGTCAAATAGGTTTAATTTTTTTTTTTAATAAAGCGTTTAATTCGTTTAATTCAAGGTGGGATCACATTCATTTGATTTGATGAAAGTTGTTGTTAACTCTCTACTAATCGTATATTTGATAACATTGGGAAATCTTGGGAAATGTTAGACAAGATCTTGGGAATTTTGAAAAAGTGAATGGTAGCCCTGCTATTAGGAACCAAGGTGAATGTCAAAATGGCTATGCTAAAATTGTTCTGTGCACGGGCAAGTGGTAAAAAACTTTTTTTTAAACTAGGCTTACACATTATTTCTTAAAATTTTTTGGCTTCATTCTCATTTTTTATTTGGATTGGCAACCATTTTATTACCTTCTTTTTGTTTTGCTGAATTCTAAGTTTACATATCGAAAGAGCAAAGGTCCTTGGTTTTTAGGGATTTTTTGTATATAATTTATATATGATTATGATAGTGTGAAAACATTTCAATACAGTGTCAGTGTGTATTTGCTTTTTATAAATCATTTTAGTCTCATTTTCTATATTTTAGGCAGTACCCATTAATAATAATAATAGGTGTTTAAATTCCATTATAAATTATGTCATATAACCATAATAATAATAATAATAAGTATATTAATGTAAGTAACACAAATTATAATTATAAATTTTAATTTGTTACTTTGTATCCTTGTAAAAATAGACTTAAGTCTCTTTAAGCTACGATACTAATACTAATAATACTATAAGAGTGTTTAATATTGCATTTTTGTTGTCTTTTTAATCAGTTCATGGTTTGGCAAGGCAAGGTCTCATTCCATTGTGTGCCACCCAACAAAACAGAACCCATTTTAGTAAGTTAAATAGTGAATCCATGTTCAAAATGTATAAAAACAGAGTTCACACTCTCACTGTCTTTAAAAGTTTGGGTTTGGGAAATATTAAAAAATATTCCCAGGGCCCGAAAAAGTTTGGGAAAATTGCCCCCCAAAAAATTGAAATAAGAAAAAAAAAGGATGTTTATATGACATGCGCAGTGCAGATTTCTTAATTGATCCCTAGCCCTGCAATAAAGAAATTTGTTGATTAGTCTGTTACAGTCTGTAGATTTCCTCAACACAGTCAAATTAATCTTAAATAGTTAGTGATCCCTCAGTAATTTCACATTTTTTTAAAACTAGGCTTACACATTATTTCTTAAAATTTGTTGGCTTCATTCTCATTTTTTATTTGGATTGGCAACTATTTTGTTTTCTATTGAAATCTACTGTTATACAGTGTAGAATTATTAAATGTTTATTAAACATGCTTTGGAGTTTGTTCTTTTAATGATACATGGCTCAAGTCAGAATACAAGTTTTGGCTAAAAAAAAAAAGTAGGGGTTTACAAGATGAAATTGGAATAGCTGTGGGGCCTCATAAAGTACCCATTACAAAAGAGTTGTTGAATTTTGCCTCATCAGCAAGTATGAAATACATTTTTATCTGAATAAGCAGAAAGATGAAAATGTTTTCTGCTCGAGTAAAAAAAAAACAAAAAAAAACTAGAGAAGTGCAGGAGTTTAAGTCCAAAAAAAATTTTTGGAAATAGGTGTAGCCAGTTTAGTTACCTTAGCCAACAGCACAACTAAAGAGGCTGAACTTAAAAGAGACCACTTCTCTTTTATCTGCGCTTCAAATGCATTACAAGAAAAAGCATCAGATAAGGAAAAGGAAGTCCTTAAACTCCAAAAACTTATTGCTGATGAAGAGGGAATCGTACAGTTTTAATATATTAAATGATGTGTTATCTGCGTAAATATTAAATGGACTGTTTGAATATATAAATTAAGCCTAACACAATTTTTGTTCAAAGCCACTGGATACAACTGTGCAGCCAGGACATTTTTTTTTAATATCTGGGACATTTCCTCAATACTCTGTGCCGGATGATTCATCATGAATGCTATGTTTTAACTATTAATTCAAACAAAAAGTTACTTTTGAACATTAAGCTGAATCAAATGTAACAACGTACATAACCTTGTACAAACTTGTGTGTTATATTTCCAAAAACTAAAGGATAGCTCTTTTTTTACAGAACAAGTTGGACAACAACCGCCAAACTTGGAATGGAGACCTATTATGGATCGAGCTGCTACTTCTGTGTTTTGGAATGAAATGTTTAAAGGTTAAGGGAAAAAAATAATATGGTGTACAAATAATTTTTATTTAATATATTATTTTTATTTAATTAATTATATTATTTGCATAGGGAACATATTTGAGTCATGCACCTCAGCCTCTAATTCCTATAACTTATCTTTTCTTCGACAATGCTATACCAAATTATTTCGGGATAGTGTCACCAATGATCACATGCCAATACTATCATTTAAAAGGTGTAATATTCTGTATTTCTTTGTATCGAAATGGGGTTTAGTATTCTGTGCCATAAATCTTAACAGATTAACGATGAAAAGTAAAACATTGTTATTGGAGTAAGAATTACCCTGTCCTGTAAGGACTCAATTCATTTTTTCTTGTTACTTAGGTTAAACATGGTCTACATTAGAGGTTTTCAAAGAAAATTACAATTAAAGTGAGTTGTTTTGTAAACTCTTGGTTTCAAAATATGTCCCAGTGTTTCACTAATTTAAATTTCAAACTGTCATCATAGGTATTGGAATTTGTCTGGGAATGATTTTAAAGGAACCTGCCAACATTAACTACCCGTTTGAGAAGGGTCCACTGAGTCCTCGCTTTCGTGGTGAACATGCTTTACGGCGGTACCCATCTGGTGAAGAAAGGTGTATTGCTTGTAAACTCTGTGAGGCTATATGTCCAGCTCAGGTAGAGAGAAAATTTAGTGCAATCGTATTTTACGGACTATAAGACCCACTTTTTATCTTCGAAAAATTGTCTCTGAAATTCAGGTGCGTCTTATACAAAATTAATATAAAAATGCTAAAAATGTTATTTTTTAAAAAATTGCTTAAAAATTAAGGTGCGTCTTATAGTCCGTAAAATACAGTAGTTATACCTAATTTGAACTAATCCTTTATAATTTTAATATTAAAATCCAAAATATTTTATATTTCTCGCTATAATATTTTTAATATTAGAAAAAAAATTTTTTTTTTACTGGTTATTCTCTTTCACCTGAATTTTTTTAGGGCAGTAGCGTAGCCAGGTTTGACGCTAGGGAGCAAAAATAATATTTTAAAAAAAGGTCAGCACACCAAAATAATAAGTGCAACAAAAAAAATTATGATTATTTATATTGGTTTATTTATGCATCTGACACACCTATTAATAAATAACATGGAAACAATAAAATATACTGTAAGTAGTTTTATAATAAAAGGGTGCCAGTGGGGGGGGGGGGGGGTCCTGAAAATTTTTTTCGAGAACCTCTCCCCAGAAAATTGATTTTTGATAAATTCAAAATATGAATAGGTTTTTATTTTATAATAAAAGGGTGCCAGTGGGGGGGGGGGGGTGTCCTGAAAATTTTTTTCGAGCACCTCTCCCCAGAAAATTGATTTTTGATAAATTCAAAATATGGATATGCTTTTTGGTGCAAATCAGAATTTAGTTTTCACAATTCTACACTTAATGGGAAATCAACAAAAGATGCTAGTGGAAATTTAGGATATCTGACCTGAATTTAATTAGGCCTATACCAAAACTTTACTTTTAATTTTGTCCAAATAGTAAAGCTTATTTTTTATTTTTTGAAAATAATTATTTGTTTAAACTACTTTATTAATATGTGATTTTAAAAAAATCAGTCAGTATTTAAAAAAAGATATATTGTCACTCTGTCACCTTTGCAAGCTCCCTATGAGATGACAAGATGAGCAGTGGAGACACGTTAGATTTCATTAATGTTGCTTAAAGTCATCTTAAAAATATTGTTTACTTTTTATGTTTAAGAAATGCATGGATGAAATACATTTTTCTCAATTAAAATTAAACTAAAGTTTTACACTAAAAAAAATATTTAAAATATTTTTAGAGGAATGAAAAAAAAAAGTTATTTTCTTTACAAAAGTAGAATGACCCTTATTTGGAAAATTGGTCACCAGGGGGAGCAGCCGTTGCCTGTGCTCCCCACTGGCTACATTACAGATTTAGGGCTAGCCATTTGGTGGACACTGGCTGCCCTTAGCTGTCTTTGGCAAAGACTTCAGAAGTTATACCACTTATGTTACTACTTATATTTTATTATTTCTATCATTAAAAATAAATTAATGTTTAAATCAGTTTCAAAAGATTAATAGGCATTCATTGACAGTCAGTCATCCCATGGGTAAATTTAATGTTGATATATCCGGTAGTAGTTATTTCCACCAACGTTTGTCATGATCTCTTCTTCTCTAGGCAATTACTATTGAAGCAGAGACTAGAGCAGATGGTAGTAGAAGAACCACACGTTATGACATTGACATGACAAAGTGCATCTATTGTGGTTTCTGTCAAGAAGCTTGTCCTGTCGATGCAATTGTTGAGGTCAGTTTTCCCAACATCTACATATGTTGTGTCAGAAATATTTAAATCTTCATTAAAATTTGTATAAAAAGCTGTAGCCTTAATTATTTGACCTTAATTCGTTTCTAAATAATTTGGTTATTCAGCTTTCTTTCGATAGCAATATTTTCTAATGTTTTGTTAAAAGGTGCATAACGTATAAAGGAACAGTATTTTATAAATATATTTACTGTTCTTTTAGTTTAAATCTTTATCAGAATTACTCTTTGATTGTGACACCTTGTATTTTATATATCTATTTTAATAGGGCCCCAACTTTGAGTATTCAACAGAAACACGTGAGGAACTTTTGTATAACAAAGAAAAACTGCTCAGCAATGGGGATAAGTGGGAGACAGAAATAGCTGCCAACCTGCAGGCAGATTATCTTTACAGATAAACATAGTCATAGTTTTGTCAAGTTTCTTGTACATAAATATGAAACATGTGAATTTAAGACATTGTTAACTAATAGAACTAGTACAAAGTTCTTCAATAAAGGATGTCTACTTTACTTTAGATAGAGAAGAAGAAAAAATAAGGATTATTATTGCCTTGTTACTGAGCTGAATTGGTGAGAAATTGTGGATTGCATCTGACCAAATTGAGACTGTAAGTGGAAGAGTGGATGACCTCTAAAATATAATTTGCTGTTCAGAAAATGTTAAAATGACCTCGGAAGTGAAATATTAAATTGGTTTTTATGAATAAATAATGTTTTGTTTGTGTTTCATTCCTACTGTAGATACAAGGCTTAATTTTTAAAAAATACAGCTTGTGGCTCTGCAAAGTAAATTAGATTATTTCTTAAGTATCTTTAACCAGCACCAGTGAATAAGCAAAACATTAGGACTAGAATTAGAATGACATATTTATTCTCTCAATCCAGCTTCCCACAACTTTTGTAACTATAAATTTATAATAAATACACAAGCCGCTTGGTATCAGACAACAAAAGCTGCAATTTAACTTCAATCAAAAGACACTCACCCCGTCCCCCTCTCTCTCTCTCATTTGTCATGTATTCATCATCAGGAACACGGGGTTCATTTTTAAGTATGAAAATATTGAGTTAAAATTTTCTAAAATAATAAAACCATCCAAAACATTTCTGAAGCAACCTTAAGTGTGACTTGAAAGAACCATTCAGGAGGCAAGAGTGTGTCATATAACCAATAGAATTGTTTAATCAAACCAAGTTTTGATGCCTCTGATGTTACTGCTAATTTAGGAGCAATCCATCTTAAAATAACAGATATGTATATTTGCTCTTAAAACAATAAAAGAATAACATGAATGTAATGAAATTTTAGTGAGATTGTTATCAACATCAGCTTTTATAAGAACAGATTTGGTTTTTGATGGAGGTGTAGACTTTATGATTTTTAAATAACAGGATTCTGAACAAGCCTGTTAAGTAGAAAGTTCTCATGACACAACATCATAAGGGACTGTGAGTGCTAAATTGTAGTCGTATGCCTCTGGTTCATTGTAAGAAGACAAACAGATGTCAGGAATGCCCTGAGTTTGCTGGTTGGCCAGGAAGTCATAAACTTGCACAGTGCCTCGATATCTGTGTTTATAAAAAGTAATAAAACTTGTTCTTAGTCTAACGTGACTTTCAGGAGAATCTTCTAATTTATTTTTATACTATTTGAAAAGTAAATTTCTAACTAATACTAGTAATAGCTCCTTATAAGAACTATTTTATCTTTTACTCTTTATTGAAAAAAAAAATTGAAGGTACTGGTAAATCTTCTTTCAAAAGCCTAGTTATCAGTAAATTGAGATCCCCAAATTAATAACTTGTAAACATTGTACAATAAAAATGTATATTAAAAGGGGATCTTACAAATGACTCTAGGTTAATCTATCTTGTTGACAAAATGTATTTCTTATTGAGAATTTGTGCTGCCACAGATGATGTCATGTTTCATCTAAGGAAAAAGTGCTCTAATAAAAATTATTTTTAATAAGAAACTTAAAAATTTCTCTAAAATTTGGGCATCAAGACCAAAACTATTTTATTCACCTCAGCGATGAAACAGTTTCAAATTCATCTTGCTGTGGGAATTTCTGATAAGGAACATTTCCAACAATGAGAAGCCTTTCATCAAAATGGCAGTACTCCACTGGGTGTCTGCAGAACAAGTAACAGTAAAGTGTTGCATTGTGAATCTTTGGTTGGCAAGATTTCAGAACTGTACTTGGGAATATTTTTATTTAAAAGTTTAATAATTTTAAAATCATTTTTGAAATTAATTAATTGCCATTACTTTTAACATTAACATCCCATAAATGCCATATTTTCATTCACATAAAATATTTCTATTTTATTCACCTGTTGTGGATATCCCATAATTTCTGACGCATCCTCTGATCCCAAACACAAACAAACCCTCCCTCGTCACCTGACACAATCTTCCATCCATCCATCTGCACAGTCCTGACTCTGGCAACATGACCAACTAGTGTCATAGATGCACTGCTTCCCAATCGGGTGTCATACATTCTAATTCTGTAATTGAACAACTCAAATGTCAAAATAAATTTTAGTATGTTGAAAGTTTTAATTAATAAGAAAAAAGTTTACTTTCTCAGAAAAAGTCTGGTCAAAATGAGCCTTTCCAGAATATGAAATCAGAATTAAACTTTACTCTTTGATATTGAACTATCAACATGTTTGAAACCACTGTCAAATGATAATTACAATTTAAAAATTGTGTAACTTCATAAGCAAGCAGCTCTAAAAGTTATACTAAAATATGCAATGAAGTGAAGGCATTCTTTAGAGCGTTTATAAACATCTCCATTATCTAAATCTTTTCCAGTGACATTAGATGGATAATGGTATTTTAAGCACTTAAAATATGTCACTATCACAGAGACCACAGTGTAGTTTTTTTGCTGGTAGTTTTGAAGTAACTTTTAAAAAATGTCCCAAGAAATTAATTTATATGTGGTATATCCATCTTCATTTTGCTGGTTTAGAAGCTAATGGATAAATCTGACCTTCTGATGGGCTCAAGAAATAACCATTTGGCAAATCACTACTTACTTTCTGTCCCCACTTCCTGTGACAAGTTGATGTGGCAAAGAGTCTGGCATATGAATGGAAGAGATAAGCCAGGTGTGACCAGTCAAAGAAGCTTTGAGTTGGTTGTTGTTTGAATCGTAGACGTTAACCTGTGGAATGCTACTGTTATGATTAAGGAATATACCTTCAATCTTATAATTGCGTTCTACACCAGTGCTTCCCAAACTTTCAAGCTTGGTGCACAAGTTTCCCCACGGACCAAGGCCAGATCTATTATGTTCATTATTTTTCTTTTCATTTTACATTAAATATGTCATGGAATACTGGGATATTGTAAATTTGTGATTGGCCCAACCATTTACTATTAACTTTTACTGTTAAATCCTAGGCATTTTTTTACGGCTGCTTTAAAATAAACACTTTATAATTGCAACATTTTGACTTACTTATTATTTAATTTGTGCTAGGAATTTAAAAATGGAGTAAAAACAACAATTTAGCCACTGGGTAACAACAGTGACTATTTAATGCAAGACAAGGGACAGGTGACTATAGGCACTTGTGCTTGACTATGATAGGGTCAATCATGTCATTTTTTAAATTTTATGCTCAAGACATGTTATTTTGAACATGGCTTCAAAACAAAACTCAACCAAGGAAAATTTCTGCAACATTTTTTTTCTTTACTAATATTTTGGAAACAGCCAAAGGAAGGCTTGTGGAACACCACTTTGGAAAAAACTGAGGTACCCTAAAATTAAAAGGAGCTAGATTTTTTTGGGGGGGATCAAATTTCTCAAGTATTGATATTTATAATTTGTAAAAAGCTCTCTGTAAACATTTGAGAATAGTGAAGTGGCTAATGTAACCCACTACATCTGAGAACAGTGAAGTGGCTAATGTAACCCACAAAGTCTGAAAACAGTGAAGTAGATATTATAACCCACAGAGTCATTTATAATTTTTTTTAATTGAAAGAGTCTGTCTTAATAAGCATGAAATTCCCTAACTCCCCCCTGAAAGCCATACTGTTTACCCACTTCACTATTTGTTAAGGAAGGAGAGAAATACTTAAGATAAAAAAAGACATAAAAAATCTTTGAACTGAATCGCCAAGACTAAATTGTCACAGATGGAATAATAGATTTGTTGTATCTCACCTTAACTTGAGTTGATGGTGCATACAAGTTGTAACCAACTGCTATTTCATGGAAACTCTCACGAAATCCAATGGCTGTTATAGGAGCCCAAATAATATTGTGAACCTTGAAAAAGGTAACATCAGAAATTTAAATTCAAATTTTTTTTTAAATTATATCTTATGGTAGGGTCAATATTGAAAAAGCTCACAACCACTTAGAACACATAGTTGGTTAGTCCAGACAATTTTACAAAATCCAGCCCATCCAAAAACAACTTAGAAAACAATATATTTTTTCTTTAAGTTATACAGCAACTGAATAGGAAAATTAAAGTTTTAGTCTTAATTCCAACTGGTTATCCCTTCTACATTTTATACTTTTTTTTATATCAAGATGTACCTGTACAACTAAATATTTTATTGTTCAAAAGTATAGAGCAACTGAAATAATAGCATTTATCCTTGGCTTTAGCACTTAGTTTTAATTCAGTTCTTACTTCTGTCATATTCTCTTGTTGTGCTGATGCACAACTAAACCCCATTTCAATCTTTTTGAGGTGCACAGTATTATTACAAGTCAACAGTAGGAGTGGTGTGGAGGAGTAGCCGCTTGTAAACCAATCAACAAAAGTCACCTACAGGAGAAAAATTGTATCAAATTCTAATACTTAGTGATGTTACAATTGAGAGACAAAGATAGTTAATAAAATTTATTGTTTTATATATTTTGACAAAAAATAGCAAAATTCATTTTAGACTAAGGCTTTCAAGTTTCATGCGTATTTGTTATAATCAATAAAAAAATTATAAAATTTTGTATTGTATTCTATAATTGCTTTTAAATAAAGTCTCTATCAATTATCATTTAATATTTTGTCAGAAAACTCAACAGGTTGTAGCTGAGCTTAAATGTATTTTCTTAACTTTATTTGTATACAAAACCATTATGATTTTTCAAAAGACTACCAAAAATTACACACAGACTCTCATCAATGAATACATTTATTTGGGTATGCATGCTTTGTTATATTGAAAGGTGACAATGTAATTAACTACTGAAACAAAGTTTACCGCAGCATGCATATCAAAATCCAAAATGGATCCTTCTTGTGTCCCCCCAATTGAAGCCAGTTGCACCCTGTGGCCTTGTGATGCTGCTATTACTGAACATTTAGCGCTAACATCATGGACAGATAAGCTTGTTATGTCGGGGTTATTGAACCTTATTGTGTGAACAGGTTCTGTACCTTCTTCATTATACCATATGTCAACAAAACCTAAGGATCAAGATCAAATGTTAATAATAGGCGATGATAAAAAGACTTAAATTGCAGCCATTTCAAAATTCTTTATGATACAACAGGCAATAAAACTAAACTATATTTTAAAATTGTATGATTTAAACTCACTCCTAAAAAGGTAACACAATGCTAAGGCTGATACAAAACCTTGGATCACAGTTCTAGGATGAGGAATGGAATATTATAATAGGATAGAAAATAATAGCTAAGGACCTAATCTATTTACTATTTAAAAACCTACCAAATAACCAGGGAATCAATTCATCCCTTTCAATAAATAGAAAAAGAGTCTGGCAAGCAGTGATGTTAAAATACATAGTTTTGGACAAACACTTGTCAGCCAAAGGGTCTTTACCATGTTTAAATGATGCTGCAGTTACAAGAGCTGTTGTGGAAATATGTTTGATCTCATTGTGTATCCGCCCCAAATCTGTAGCATTTTCATCAATAACAAGTGCAGTGTTGCTGGCATTGTATGTGCACACATCTCCCGTCTGTGTGTTCCATGATCTAACATTACAACTTGTATACCTGAAATGATTGTGTCAATAATTTGCTTTCAATAATAATCCCAAACCTCCATTATATACTATAAATTTCAAGACTTTATTGACACCTGCCATTGCAATATGGGTCTTTTAGCCCATCAATTCTAAAATGGGAGATTTTTCTTTGACACCTATAAAAAAATTTCTATGATTACAAACATTAAGCTTAATTGGATGGATGATAACAAAAGCAAATTGGAGGTTTCTTTAAAAATTGCTTAAAAGTGAAAAGGGTTACTTGGAGTTGTCAAGTTTAAAAGCTAATGCTTTAGTCTGCACTCTAGCGGAGACTTAGTGAAAGTTTGACAATCTTTTTAAACTCATTTTTTTTAGCATAAAACACTTGCATGTGAGGAGATCAAACTGAGCCTTCTGTCTCATGTCAGTTGCCGTTAATGGATATGAGGTCTGGGTGGTGAGTAAAGCCCATTCCGATGACTAAAACGACACGGCCGTGAGAAAGCCACTCCTTGTTGACCGTTTCATCCCAGCTTTCGTCCCGAACGAAAGACTCCCTGGACGGTGGGGGGTGGCAACGTAACACCTTTCCCCCGGAGTGGAAGCAAAGCCGCCCTGACCCAGGGGAGAGTAGACCGCGCATGCTTTAAATGCAGCGTTTTCAGTTGACAAGATGTCCCCTAGGCCAGGGGGGAGGTTCCCCACATGCTTCTGCATGGTCTGGCGGTGGGGAGACCCGGCGCCTGGCCTGTGTGGAGGTGGGCGGAGGAAGGATTGTATGGAGACGGTAATGAGTGGGCGGAGGAGGGGGGGGGGGGGGGGGGGGGGGATTAAGAGCTCGCGCTTGACGACCCACCGACGCCATTTCCCAATGTGATGTCTCATGTCAGTGAAATGTTACAAGTTAAACTGTCTTTTCATGAACACTAAGAATATTGAATTGAAATGAAACAGTGAAATTATAGGCTGACAATAAATGGTGAAACATGAAACTTACCCTGATACAATAGTTGAATTATGTGAGTGGACAGCACATAGCACACCTCCTCGTGGGAAGCTTAAGTGGTAGGGTTTCCCTATTCTCGCCTAATTTTTCACCAACAATAACGTCCATGCATGAAAATCCAAATCAAATAAGAAACAGATTTTGTTTAAAGCATTATGATTTAGTGAAATTTGTTTAAAAGCCTTTTCAACAAAAATCCTCTGTCCTTACTGTTTTTTCAAAAACATTCTTGCATCAAGTCATGAGTTTTAAATGCATAAATTTTTTTTGGTCTATAAATGATTTAAATTTTATTCCAACAGAAATTATAAGCCTTTGAAAAATTTTAAGTAGTTTTTTTTTTCTATAAGTTAAATATATTAAATATTTTACCTCATAAGATTGAAAAATATGCCAATATTTTAGCTCAGGGCACTTACTTTCCAGTTGGTATGCTGCAATCTTTTTTTCTCTATGTGTCTTCTAACTTTACCCTTCCAGTTTTGCCCATCGCTTAATTCCATTTCAGTCCCATATCCAAGATTGTGACAGATTCTGCACCACAACAACTCATCATCAGCAAGACTCCGCCAACTGTGACTAACCTGTGTTAAGTAAGACAATCTTGTTCACTGTTATAGAAAATAAAAGTACCATGGCATGTGAAGTCCACCAAAGGTACGAGCTTGAAATATAAATGCTAATGTACAGAGTAAACAAATCCTAATTCTCATTTAAACTGAATATAGTTTAATTCTTTAGTACCTTTTTGTCTATAATAAACACTGTTCAAAATGGCTAAATTCATTTACAAAAAGTTGTTTATACTTTTGTGTGTACAAAACAGACATAGGCACTTGGTATCAATTTATTACTTATGGAAGGATTATAGAGAAATGATTTTAAAATGTTCTTGTAAGTAATTTATAAGCATAACTTTATGCACTTTGGCGTTTCTCATGCCAATGTTTGGTATTATTCCTCACAGTATAATGTGTGTGATAACCATCTGTAAAAATTCTAATAATTTAAAGGCCACATTCTAAGGTTTTTATAATGCATTGACCACAGAGCTTATTGTATAGAACACATAATGCATTTTACCAAAGTGCTTATTGTTTAGAACATATAATGCATTTTACCAAAGTGCTTATAGCATAGAACATATAATGCATTTTATCAAAGTGTTCACTGTATAGAACATAAAATGCATTTTACCAAAGCGCTTATTGTAATAAACACACATCAAAATGATTTAACCTGTGAACAGCTGCACAACGTTTTCATGTCTAGATGCTGAAAAATTTGGAGAGCTACTTCACGTGGAAGGCTAGTATCAAAAAAAGGAATTTCATTTATTTCATCCTGAAACAAAAATTTTTAATTACTCTCAAAGTGAATAACAAGTTTAAAAATAATAGCAAGTTTAAAAATGTGTCATTCTTTTTTTTTTTTTTTAAACCATTTAAGTTTGTTGCTATATAAGTGTCACTGGTTACCCCATGAAAAAGTTCTTTTATTTTAACCTCGGACCATTTTCAAAGGTTAATTTTTACACAAAACTTCATGTGAAATTATTTGTCATTGTTTATGTTGTTTTAGGCGACTTGATTTTTTAAAGGGAATATGACAACAAAACAAAAAATATAGATAAAATTTAACCAATTTTAGAATAACTCTACCTTAATTAAAACCCAAAAGACAATACTGCTATTAACAATGAAATTAAAATTTTTATAGCATGAGTAACTTCTTATAATTACCTATTCTTGGATTTGATCCAAAACATTGAAACATTGCCTTTCTTATCCCTTATTATTATCAGCATTTCATCTCATAATTTAATAAAGACGTATGATAGACGTATGATTGGAGTGACTAAACCTAACTCATTAAAGTTATGTTTGCTTTAAATACATGGAGGCAGCTGTTACCATGTCTACATACTTGAACTTATTTTGAGATAACAGGACCCATTTAAACTTGCCATACTCTTATTATTCATAGGAATTTAAAATATAAAAATTGATGTGTTATGTAATGTGCGAATAGCCACTTCGTATAAATAATAATTTTTTTTTTTCCACAGTTAACAGTACAGTTGATGCAATACTTTGTCACTTTAAAAAAAAATTATTTATTGTGTTTAGGATTCTCTCTAAAAATTTTACATTAAAACTTAATAAAACGCATATTAAATTGAAATTAAATAAAGTACTGTAAAAGTTATTATACAATTTAAAAAAACACCATATCTTTCTGTTACTTATTCTGAGTATGACCAGCTAAAATCTTTTACACAAATCAAATTACTATGTTTAAAATTATTTTGATAGTACTAATTTCACAGTTAAATTTTCATTTCAAATAAGTTGTTACTTCTTGTTTTGTATTGTTTGCTGAAGAAGGCATTTGGCCGAAACGTCCAAATAATTGTTATGTCCTTTTTTTTTTCCAAGCCTAAAATACTATTTATTTATTTCAGATGGCTTGAGTGCAGTCCTCCCTTATATTATCCTAATTTCACAGCTACAGTTACAGTGAATGATTTTTCATTTACAACTTTAAAAAGTATTTATCAAGAACTTACCAAATCTGCTATGAAAATGTCAAGAATTGGCTTAGGCTTTACAATTTTACCATCTTCTTCTTTCAAAGCATCAGATTCCCTTTGTATAGTTTTCATTTTTTTAGAGCTGTTTTCTGTAATACTAATTTCATTGTTAAAATATGTATGTTTGCTAAAGTAATTAAGCTCAGAAGATATGACATTACTCTTGTTGTCTTTAATTGTTTTCAATCTCTTTGGGGCTTCATTCAGAAATTGTGTCAATATTTTGAATGGATAATATTCACTATTGTCATCAGATAAATTAAAGTTTTTTGAAGTTTTGTCATGTTCAGAGTCACCATCAGCATCTTGACTGGTGTCATCAATTACATTGACAGTGACATCTTTATAACTATCTATTTTATTTTTGTCATTATTTATCAACAGGTCATTGCTTGTGTGGTCAATATTTTGCTGAGCGGCCGTTGAATAACTTTGTGTTAGTGGTGAGTGACTCGAATGAGCGTTGTTTATTGTGTTTTGATCAAGTCCAGTGCCAGTATGATATTGAGAAGAAGTATCATCATTGCTTAATTTATCGTGTTCAAGCTCCTTTCTCCATTCTTGTCGAAATTTTTCGAGGTCACTCACAGATAAAGACATTGTTCCCAATTTTAAGGAAAAAATACTAGTTAGTGAAATTATAAATGTAAATATCTTTTAGATTAGCAATCAGCCCAGTTCATTATTCAATTATTCAGACGTATCAGTATCTCAAGTATCTGGATAACGTCGCCATTTGTAAATAAACTTTTATCATTAGAGTAATTTCCCCTTAAATTGAACTGATTTTTGAGATTACACAACACTTTGTTTACATTACAGTTACAGGCAACTAACAGACAAGGCATTGCGCTTTACTTACTATTTACATTTCTATCAAAGTTAATGCTCTAAATATATTAAGGGACAATGAACGCTTAACGTTTCCCTTTTGATCGTCCTGTTTTTTTCCCCCGTACTTCAAGCATTGAAATGTTACATTAATCATTAAGTCATTAAGTTTAAGTTAAGACTTAGTGGCGTGAGCGGGCCGTCGAGCTAATGCTATTCTTAGTCTTTAAAGTCTTTATGCCCTCCACAAAGCACCCCCCCCCCAGCCCGGTATTGGGCCGCTCGCGGAGCGGCACGTTGGAGATGTCCTTTTGCCAGGACAGCCCCCACCCGAGCCCACTCGATCGGGTTCCGTTGGGGGCTGCCCTAACCCAAAGACACCAGATCAGCCCGACACTGTTTGCCCACAGTGCACACCATCGACTTTCTCAGGAGTTGGGATGGTAAATTTACATCCTAATATCTTCCCCCACCCATCCCGGGGAAGCGTTGGACGCCCTTTAAGAGGGTTTCTACAACTAATTTGCAAAGTAGATGTGACTCAGGACGAAACGGTTGCCTTGGAGCAGCTTTTCAGGGCTGCACTGTAAGAATCATCGGCTAGAGGTTACCACCTTCGCCTCTAGCATCATATCCATTAACGGCAACTGGTAATCATGATCCCTACCTTGTATCTGCCTTTACTTCCAATTGTGAATTATTACAGCTGGCAGCCCTGTAGACTGTGGGTGCTGTTTTATTTATGGCAGGTACCGAGCACGTCCCTTGTCTGCCCACACAGGACACGCCACAGTGGTCTTGTTCCCCAGGTAACGTCAAGGGGGTTGGTGGCCGACGCCTCCTAATGGACAAGCCACCACAGACTTGCCAACGGGGCCCTGGGAGGCCTTTCAAGCATTAACATATTATTTTACTCGTTGCGTTACATATTATATCCTATTCAATTCCTTGTCTACTATTTTCCTTCACAGGACTTGAATACAGTCCCTTAAATTAAGTACTTATAGATTGTTAGAACTCTTAACCTAATTAAAAAGGCTTTTTAAATTGCTCCATTCAACAAAACATTCTCACTTGTAATTAATGTAATTGTAATTGGTATTTATAAATGTAACAATACTTCTTTTTCCTCAGATATTTCCAGTACCTATGACTTATGTGATCAAAAAGGGAATATAGTTTACAAAATAGTCAATTGAATCATAGCCTACATTTTGATGGTGTACAAGTTCCCACAATAACCAACCAAGGAGTATCTCAATAAATAACATTATTAATGCGATGATGATACGTTGAGCACTGTCAGACACATTTTTAAGCAAAAACACAATGTCCAGATTTAATTTAACAAGGAATACTGCTCTCACAGCAATTATACTTAAGAGAGTAACTGATGTTAATTACTTTCAGTTCATTCTAAATTCTAAATTTCATGTAGGAAATATTGCTCTAAACAATTCTTTTGACCCTTATGAGGAGTCAAAGTATGTACCTGGCAGCAGAGCTGTCAGTCAGGCAGAACTTTTCCCACTGCAAAGTTTCATTTCAGAGCATTCAAAGTTATTTGTGCTTACTGGAGCAGGAATATCAACCGAGAGTGGCATACCTGACTATCGATCTGAAGGTGTTGGTCTTTATGCTACAAGCAAGACCCGTCCAGTCCAGTATGCAGACTTTCTTAAGAAAGAAACAATTCGTCAAAGATATTGGGCTCGAAATTTTATAGGCTGGCCCAGGTTTTCCTCTTTTCAGCCCAACAGGTCTCATTATATCCTAAGTGACTGGGAGCGGCTTGGCAAAGTTCACTGGTTGGTTACACAAAATGTTGATGCATTACATTATAAGGCTGGTTCTCAAAATGTAACAGAATTACATGGCAGTGCACACAGAGTTATATGTCTGTCATGCAACTTCAAGTTTACTAGACATGCTATGCAAGATATGATTATAGATATAAATCCAGACTGGTCATCAGAAGCTGTCAGTATAGGTCCCGATGGTGATGTAGCTCTGAACTCGGCCAATATAAGTGATTTTAAGGTGCCCGTTTTATTAACTTAAAATTATTTAGTATACAATACAATTATATATTTTATGGATTATACAATTTATTTTTCCCATCTGTGGTATACCAAATGGTAGACCATCTTTAAATTTCATGTGGAGTACCTCTGACAAAAAAGTGCTGATCTATAACATAGCAAAGTATGAGTTGCACTATTTTAGCTGACTTTCTTTGATTTATTTCTCTTGATTTCTGACTCCTGTTTCCATTTTAAAGGCATCTGTGAGTCCACCTCCATGTACTACCCCATACGTCATCCCTTCGCAAGAGTTTTGTATAATCCTGAATAGTTTTCACTGTACTCCATAATGCCGCCAGAAAAGTTCACAGGGTCAGTTGGTCTAAGCTATCCATGGTAATCAATGAAGTTTATGTATAAGGAGGAATTCCATTCAGTGCAATATTCTTCAATGATTTGGCAGTGTTTCAATTTGGCCTGTGCATGATCTGCCTCTGCAGAAGCCCGCCTGTTGATCTCATATGTGTTGACCAACAATATTGATGAGGTATCTTTATTTACCATCTTTTGCAACTCGCTCTTCTCATATTTTCTCCTTAAAATGGTATAGCATGTTGATTGTTGTTTCTATCTGCTCTCACTATCTCTGCTGTGATTTTATCCAGTGCAGATATTTAGCTGTTTTAAACCCCGAGCCAATTCTTCCTTATTAAGGGCACTATCATCTATTTGTAAATCTTCATTTGCTGGTTGTACATCTTTTTTTATCCTTTCTAATACTAATAATACTCTCTATACTATACCAATGCCATTGGCTTCTTTATATTTTTCGCTTATGCTTTTGCTTTCTCTGAGGAAACAAAACCCATCTGTTTTGGCCAGATCACAAAGCATTAAAATCTTACATTCCAAATGATTAATATTAAGTTAACTATTTTTGCAGGTGCCTACATGTCCCAAATGTTGTGGGATACTCAAGCCAGAAATAACATTTTTTGGAGACAATGTCCCAAAAAACACTGTGCACTTTGTTCTTGAGAAAATGTTTGAGTCAGATGCAGTCTTGGTCATTGGATCATCCCTTGAGGTTGGTTCCAATTTATTAAACTTTTCTAGTTACATTTACAATTATATGCTAACAGAAATAATAAACGGGGCAGCCAGACTGCAGTCAGTTAGGTAAAAGGAAATATGTAAAGCACGGTAGTGTAGTGACTACATTTCTCTTGCTGTTCTCTGGAATACAACATTTCTGCTACATTTTTATTGTTATACTTATTTACTTTTTAGTCTTTGTACTGTTCGGTGAAGATGGCTTCTTGCAGACATGTCCGTTGTTTTGTTGCATCATGTTTTTCCCCTAACTTTTTTTTATTTTACATATGAACAGTAACAGGAATAAATAATCGAAAAACAAGATGTACAAAAAAAAATTCATTTATCCCCTTAAGTCATTACCTTCATGATCCAACAAATTATTAATTTTTTTTTTTGAACTAATTTTTTCCCCAGGTGTACTCTGGGTACCGGTTCATGCACAGAGCTAGAGAGTGTGGAATGAAAATTGCCATCATCAACATAGGACCTACCAGAGCAGACAAACTAGCTGATATCAGGATAAGTGCCAGATGTGGTGACATCTTACAAAGATTAAATATTTCATGAAATTAAGTTATTGTGTCTTTCTATCATTTGGTGCATCTGACTAGTAACAACAAAAATTAATATTAATTGGTCAGGCAAAGATAGGGAAAACCTAGAATACCCAATTTATTATATAATACCTTGTTATTTAAACTTTTCTTAATCAGATCGAAGGTAATCTAACTAAATAAATTACCTGACAGGATGTCTCTCTGTTATTTTCATATTAATTATCCTGTAAAAACTAATTTCTTCACACATGTGATAGACCCACATTGTTTAAAATTCAGTGAGAAATAGCATTCTAGTAAATTTGTCACACTAAAGTCAGAACAATTGTTATTTTAATTTAAAAAAAATTGTTCACACAGTCAGAATGACTGCCATGTCCAACAAATAAGGTTTCAATCTTTTTTAGCAAAATTAAATCTTTTATTTTTTGTGATGTTTTTATTGTGTGATATATAATTAAGTGGCTCATCCCAATGATACTATCATACGATGTGATAAATAAAGTTTTGATATGTATTATCAGTCTGTAATGACAATATTTGCCTCTCTTCACATTACCGAACTAACATAGTCATGTCAGTGGATTCTTCAAATCACTAACATATGTGGCTAAGTCCAGGTGCATAATGTATTTATTTTATAGTTTCATGAAATTGTGCCAATAACATAACCAAAGTGTAAGCAGCACAAGTAAAATTAATAAAGCTGTATCAATTATGTTTCAGTTTATATTTTAAGAGAACTAATTACCGTTTGTTAACTGAAATACCCAGTACAATTGTTTCTCCAATTTTTTTTCTTCCTCTGTCGAGTATGAGCGTTCATTAGGAATTGTTGCGACTCAATATTATGTTCATTAGTTGTTGAACGCTTTTCCCGCGCTTGACTATTATAGTTAGTGAACGCTCTTCCCGCCATAGTCTTTATGACGTATTTTTATGCTGAGTCGTGACGTATTGTCTATGCAGTGTTGTGACGTATGTTTTAGTAGTGCGGCAGTCTTGAGTGGAACCTTGGAGTGATAGGATGTTTATTATATTTACTTAGATATTAAAGTTATAGTTATTATGAAAAGGAGTTGAGTTTGTTAATTGATAGTGAGAATAGTACGACGCTTCAACGTATGAAAGAACTGACGAATGTAATCAATCCAAGAAGACGTATAGGAGTTGACATGGGGGCTCGTCCGGGATTGGTGAACCTCGTTATTTTCATACTCGAGGTAAAGTACACGAACATTCTTACTATTCAACTTTAGTGAAGTTACAACAATCGTCGCATGTTCCTCAGTATTTTTAGCCATGAACCGTGGTTGCGAGGCCGGCTCTTGCCTGGGGTCAGGATCATGAGTATGTCCACCGTTATCCACATAGTGGTTTTCACTTACATTAATGGAAACTCTATTAACATTTTTATAGGGATTCTCACAGTGAATGCTGGCAATGCCATAATATATTTCTTCCTCTTGG